GCAGTCAGGTATGTAGGCCACAAAGCAGTCAGGTATGTAGGCCACAAAGCAGTCAGGTATGTAGGCCACAAAGCAGTCAGGTATGTAGGCCACAAAGCAGTCAGGTATGTAGGCCACAAAGCAGTCAGGTATGTAGGCCACAAAGCAGTCAGGTATGTAGGCCACAAAGCAGTCAGGTATGTAGGCCACAAAGCAGTCAGGTATGTAGGCCACAAAGCAGTCAGGTATGTAGGCCACAAAGCAGTCAGGTATGTAGGCCACAAAGCAGTCAGGTATGTAGGCCACAAAGCAGTCAGGTATGTAGGCCACAAAGCAGTCAGGTATGTAGGCCACAAAGCAGTCAGGTATGTAGGCCACAAAGCAGTCAGGTATGTAGGCCACAAAGCAGTCAGGTATGTAGGCCACAAAGCAGTCAGGTATGTAGGCCACAAAGCAGTCAGGTATGTAGGCCACAAAGCAGTCAGGTATGTAGGCCACAAAGCAGTCAGGTATGTAGGCCACAAAGCAGTCAGGTATGTAGGCCACAAAGCAGTCAGGTATGTAGGCCACAAAGCAGTCAGGTATGTAGGCCACAAAGCAGTCAGGTATGTAGGCCACAAAGCAGTCAGGTATGTAGGCCACAAAGCAGTCAGGTATGTAGGCCACAAAGCAGTCAGGTATGTAGGCCACAAAGCAGTCAGGTATGTAGGCCACAAAGCAGTCAGGTATGTAGGCCACAAAGCAGTCAGGTATGTAGGCCACAAAGCAGTCAGGTATGTAGGCCACAAAGCAGTCAGGTATGTAGGCCACAAAGCAGTCAGGTATGTAGGCCACAAAGCAGTCAGGTATGTAGGCCACAAAGCAGTCAGGTATGTAGGCCACAAAGCAGTCAGGTATGTAGGCCACAAAGCAGTCAGGTATGTAGGCCACAAAGCAGTCAGGTATGTAGGCCACAAAGCAGTCAGGTATGTAGGCCACAAAGCAGTCAGGTATGTAGGCCACAAAGCAGTCAGGTATGTAGGCCACAAAGCAGTCAGGTATGTAGGCCACAAAGCAGTCAGGTATGTAGGCCACAAAGCAGTCAGGTATGTAGGCCACAAAGCAGTCAGGTATGTAGGCCACAAAGCAGTCAGGTATGTAGGCCACAAAGCAGTCAGGTATGTAGGCCACAAAGCAGTCAGGTATGTAGGCCACAAAGCAGTCAGGTATGTAGGCCACAAAGCAGTCAGGTATGTAGGCCACAAAGCAGTCAGGTATGTAGGCCACAAAGCAGTCAGGTATGTAGGCCACAAAGCAGTCAGGTATGTAGGCCACAAAGCAGTCAGGTATGTAGGCCACAAAGCAGTCAGGTATGTAGGCCACAAAGCAGTCAGGTATGTAGGCCACAAAGCAGAGTCAGGTATGTAGGCCACAAAGCAGAGTCAGGTATGTAGGCCACAAAGCAGATGTTCCTCGGTGGACCATTCAAACCTCTGATTTTAACTTTACATTACATGAGCGAGGGAAATCAAGTGTTACGCCCGAAGAACACAAATCCTCCTTTTGGGAATGCATTTCGAATTACGCTTCTCATACACAACTTTACACCGATGGTTCTAAAAGAAGGTGAGAAAGTGGCAGCAGCCTGCTGTACTGCTAATACTTGCACTTCAGTCCGACTACCAGACGGCGCCTCCATCTTTTCTGCTGAAGCATGCGCCATTGGTTTGGCCCACGACCATATCGATGAACACCGCATTAAAAAGGCAATTATTTGTTCAGACTCTCTATCTGTCCTACAGCGTTTACAGTTACGAGATCCTAAAAACACACTCGTACAAAACCTTGCTCTTCGAATATCTCGTATCTTAAAAAAGTCGGAATTAAAGGCAACGAATTTGTTGACAAGGAAGCAAAAAATGCATTGAATCTCCAACAAACAAATATCAAACTACCATATACAGATTTTAAACCAATTATTCGTACAGCCATCCAAAATGAATGGCAGCAACGCTGGTCTCTCGAGACCAGCAACAAACTTTTTAAAGTACAACCGAAACTTTAAACATCTATTCCAAGTCGGAAAGATCGTAGAGAGGAAGTTGTCCTCGCTCGGCTCCGTACTGGGCACACATATCCTACTCATTCGTACCTTTTAAAACGAGAAGATCCGCCTACATGCCACACTCCATTTACAGTGGAAAATATTTAAATAGAATGTTCCGATTTTAAACACATTCGTGATAACAACTTTCGAGTCACGGATATGAAAACTCTTTTCAGTTTCGTGGACTCGAAGGAATTATTCAACTATTTGAAAGACATCGGTCTATTCTATAGACTCGGATGTCTTTTAACCGACCTTGCCCTTTTTCACGTTATATATATATCACATAGTCCATATCATCTGTCCGTTGTCTCTTTTGTTATTATAACTTCCTTCTTATTTTAATTATTTACATATACAATGCGAATGCTTTTAAAATGAACCTTTTTATCTGATTTTATCTTCGCTACATTTGTACTTACATGTTTGTTAAAAAAAATAAAAATAAAAAAATCACCAAGGCTCTAAATGACCACAGCCGTCGATGGGCCGTTAAACATAAACAAACAAACAAACAAACGAACACTGACAACTCACTGGTACAACACTGACACCAATTAAGTACCAAGTTATTTTTAACAAATTGTTAATGGATTTAATTTCTTAATCAGTTTGGCTTCATCTCTAGTATAAGTATCTGTAGTATTTTGGTAAGTGAGAGTGACTGAGTGAATTCCTTACATGTTTGGTATTAAGTGGAATATTCTATACAATATATTTGCCCAGCTACTTTACCTGCAGTAATCACATGGATCCATCTTTTTTTTACAACAGTGTTTTTTTTATATGGAATGTATAAGGTTTGGTTTGTCGTTTGATGTGTATTAACAGCTGTGGTTATTGAAGGACATGCCAGATTTTGGTGGTGGTGGATTGGTTTGATTTGTTTGTGTTTTACTTCCCATTATACAGCTATGGTCATTATTAGTTTTATTATTAAGTAGGCACAGTAGTCTAGTGGTATGACACTGGGCTCGTGACCGAAGGGTTGCAAGTTCGAGTCACGGAACAGCACTGTGTGGTATCTTTGAGAAATATACTTTACTCCGCTTGTTCCAGTCTACTCAGCTGTAAATGAGTATGTGGTTGTTGAATGCTAGCTGTGAGCACCTCCCCAGGGAGTTGAGAAAGATATTGGCTGGTTGCGAAGGCCCTATAACCACAGATAATAATTTGTGAACAGCTTAGAGACGACAAACAAACTAAATTGTGATAAAGCGGTATATAAGAACCTCATGTTATTTTATTATTATTATCAGTTATCTCTGGGTTAGGAGGATTCTATGGGTTCATAGACTCTGTCTGGTCTATTAAGACCAAAGGGGTTTATAAGCCAGTAGACCCCTCCTAACCAAGAGATTACTATTTTTTACCCAAACAATCTTGTATTACTTCTTTTTCTGCAAAAGTCACTTTGTTGGTTTGACTTATACTTGACTGCTACACAAAATAGCCCCTACCAGGCACCTTTTCAGTAATATTTCGGACAATGCACAGCCTTCTTTGTTATTAGCACCCTAGCGGCCCCCTCGTTACCCTTTTTGTTGAATTTGATGTTGTTTAGATTGTTTGTAGGCTATATCATCCTGTAAATGATTTGCACACCCCAAAGGATTGTGTTTCACACGCCATCATTTTTGTTATTAAGAGAGATTCTAGTTTGAATTATCTCCCTTGCACATGCTTTTATAGACCCCCGCAAAGCGGGGTCTATAGAAATATAGATACCGGCAAGATATCCAATCAGAAAGAGTGTTACAAATTAGAAGAGTGACAATTACGAATGTTCCAGGTTTTGGCGGTGGAGGAAAGCTGTACTTCCTTGAGAAGAACCACTGACCTACAGTCCATACCTGGTGACTGCCCCACATAGGTCTCAAACCTTCGACCAAGTGATGTAGGGCTAGTGGTAGCAGAATGTCAGACCCCTTAACCACTTGGCCACCGCAACCCCAGGTGGTGGAGGAAAGTGTAGAGAGCGTGTACTTCTTGTCTGGATATTTCTGTAATCATGGTAAAATATTGCCAATATTTCCCCTATTTCGGCTCAGCATCATAACATCAATTCTCAGTACCTAATAATGCTTTTTAGCAAATTTTGATTTCTTATGATGAACTGCTCATTAGAGGTAGACTTTTAAATATATTGTAAAAGGAAGGGTTCAGGACCATTTCAAAGTCATAACACAGATGAAATAAAATCCCAAATTCACAGTCTCAGTAAAATATTTTGAGTACATGTTTTTTCCTATTATGGAAAAGAACCAATATCTTAATTTAGGTGTAAGTTTTCACAATAACCACCCAAACAGTCAGTTCCTAAGGCTGAAAATCTGCAGTCAGAAGGCTGCTAGTGACCCACAAGACCTTTGCCTATGGTTTCTAATCAACCTAATAAAACCCTAATTAAACATGTACAAACAGCAGGTAAATGTGGTTCAGTACAGATACAAATATATATTTATTACTGCTGTAACTAATAACCATAGTAAACACACATTATTAATGATTTTATGTCAAGCATCTGTGGCTCAGTACCTATAGCTATTACTTAACATATGTAAGATCCGGGGTAAAAATGCAGGCTAAATGCGAGGTCCGAGATCATGTTTACATTCAATATTGTATAATTTATGATTGAACGCATGGAGTCAATTGTCAACAATTCTACATGAAGATTAGGTCTATTTAAAAATTACTGGAAATGCATCTTTCTCCAGAAAGACAGTACTTATCGAGTCAAACTGAGTGTGACTTCTGAATAGAAATTGCTTGTCTTCCAACTCCAGCAGGACCCTCATCAGATGTCCATTGTCGCAGACCGCATCATGACTCAATCAATAAGCTGTCAAATACCGGCGTATTGCGTCCGAGACATAGACGCTAGGACTACAGGCACGAATGTATATGAACGAAACATAAAATAGCGACCTACCTGTGTGACCAGGGGAATGAGGGTCTGTTCCACAGATTTGGTCCGGATTTCCAGCGATAACCTGGCGTCGTTCTTCGACTGAGCCATTTTCCAGTCTCACTGACGTCGAATCTGATTCTGAGTTCATGGGTCACATGGCCGCTTACATATTTACCAAATTAATTATAAATTTCATGATTTTAAAAGTCATCGTTCTGTCTATTCCTTTTGTAGACCTAATGTAAAAAAAAAATAGGACATCTTCATGATTAACTTAAGCGGTTACCTGGTAATTTTATTATATTTTGAAACATAAGCGACCCCGGCCCGATTACCCAAAACAAAAAGGTCAGAGGTAAAGTTTATGCCGGTGACTATTCATGCGGAGCGATGGTCAGAATGAGGAAGTCACATGACTTTATAATATCGTACACGCCCACAGGCGTTTGTTTCTGTTAATAAAAATGGTCCTGACAATAAGAAGTTACACCCTTCTCACAACTAATACCATCAGTGACTGATGTGCGCATTGTGCCGAGTGTTATGTGCGTTAATGTACGTACAGTGATTATTTTTTGTTATTTTTTTTGTTATTTGCTATAGGATAAAAACAGGTTAAAAGCAGTGGGTGAGTGTTAGTTATGTTGTAGGTTTTGTATATGTTCTATTATGTTGTATGTGGTGCATCCATGTCCTGAATTCTGCTAGTGTATTTGATTAAATTATTGTTGTGGGTAGGAGGTTCCATTGTATTATGGTGAATGGAAAGAATGAGTGTCTGGATGTGTAGATATGTTTGTAACTACGGTCGTGTCCTTGACGTGTTCTGGTGTCTGCCGGGATGAGATTGTTAGTATGCTACTTGTTGTACGTGTTCTTGTTCTGCGTGTGTGTAGTGTTGCCCATTGCAAGTTGTGTATCTGTTTATGACATATCGTGCTACTCTTCGTTGTACTTTTTCTAAATGGTTTATGTTATTTGTATAATGGGGGTCCCGAACTGAAGAGCAGTATTCGAGTTTTGGTCTTACAATGGCCTTGTATGCATGTTCTTTTATGTGTGGTGAATTTATTTTTAGGTTGCCTTTCAGAAAGCCTAGTGATTTATTTGCATTTGATGTGATGTTGTTAATGTGTTGTCCCATTTTAAGTTGTTTTGAAGTGTGATGCCTAGATATTTGTTTGAAGATACATATTCTAGTGTGTGGTCATGGAGTGTGTATTGGTGTTTAATGTGTGTGCGTTTTGGTGATATAGTGAGTATGGTGCATTTAACTTGTCTGCGTGGAATTTCATGAGCCAGTATATATAAAGCATTGACATTGGTTGATGCCGACACAGGGACCTGATAATTTGTTACAGCTAACAAATATTATGTTATATTTGGACCTCAAACTAAGGTGTTCAGAGTATAATTTTTGACATGTTTTAGGGGTTTATATCGACACATTGAGGTGGCATTTTTACCGAAAGTCGATCTAAACCCATTAAACATGTAAAAATACTCTGAACACTTTAGTTTAGGTCCACATATATAACTGTAACACATTCTCAGGTCCCTGTGGATGCCGAGACACATCAGACCTAGAGGGGAGTAAGGATGTGGATTTCCAAATAAAATAAATGCAAAATGGGGATTTTTTTGATTTTTTTTAAATCAAGAAAAACAACATTGATGAACAATAAAACTGAGAAGTCTATATGTTATTCGATTGACGATGTTTGACATTTATTCAGTCATTTGCAGTTAAATATGCATTCATACCATGCCAGAGATATCGATACCTTTCAAATAAACAGTTATGTTTGTGTTGTAAACAACAGATGCTGCTGTAACTTTCACTATTGGTTTTTACCAGGTCCTGGTATATATATTATGGTCTTATAGGTACAGCCTTCACAATATCCCGTAACAACTCTAATTAAAACAATGAAATAGAACTGCCCTTCAAAGCAGCACAGTAGTACTGTACTCTATTTACCCGACTCACTTTCATATTAAGGTTATCATCATTCTCTTATATATATCTGTTGCATTTATAGTATTTTCAACAGTAAGTGCATCTTGTGGTCATTTTTTAATTAAAATTCCGCACTACTTGGTTGAGAGTTATTTTTAAATAATAATGTTTATTTCAGGAAATAGATCATAGACATCACATGTAACATGACAGTTGACATACCTATTACAGTACAACATACATACATATTACTAAAAATATTAAAAAGAATATCACAGGTTTTTGGGGCAGTCCAAGGAGTAGGTGATTGGGCATCCCCTTCCTACAAGCTCTCCGGACGCTCAAATATTAATGAACCTACATGCATTAAATTATCGTCAGTAATAAAATATTGTATTATCTTAAAATACTATTTTATATATGAAACTAAAATTCATAACTGATTTTAAGACATAGGTTATTATATTTATACAATTAATACAACACAAACATTGATATATAAACCTGAGGATAGCCCATGAAAGCTCGAAAGCTTATTTCCAATGGGGTCCATGTTATATTGATCACGGGGAAAGATTTTGGCAGGAGGGAATGAATGACAACATATTAACTTAATTGTCAGTACCTATAGTAATTCCGTAATGAATATATAATCTAAAAAAACACACATATATATATGTTCAGGTTTAAATAGTTAGCCTGACTTAAAATATGTAACGTGACTTTCCAACTATTTCTAAATAACAAAAATAATACGGTACAGATGTCGTCAGCACGTGGATTGCAGTGACACAAAGTTTGTTTTCTTAGGGTTGGGGATCCCCCTACCAGCAAAGTCTACTTGTTTTGTGCCACCGCAATCACATATAATTGTGTTATCAGCATGAATTTTGAAATTTAAAAGCGAGTTGTTTCTTCACTGCTGCCTTAAATGTATATATGGATTTTATACCCTTGATTTTGTCAGGCAGACTATTCCAGTCATGGATCCCGTTAAAATAAAAAGCACAGGTATCTTTCCCTTAACATGGTGGAACAACAAAATTAAAAAGACATGATCGTGTGTTGTGCTGATGAACACCTGACACTTTTATGAAGTTTATAGGTTTAAGTAGGATGAACAATTTTCCATAAAAAATCTTGTGCACATGATTGAGTCTTAATTGTTTGACTCTATATTCTGTATTTAACATATTGAGCTTTGACAGTTCAGTGGGAGTGATACTCGTTCTGGGTTCTAATTGGCTAATAAATCTGACAACTTTATTTTGTAAAACCTTTAATTTGTTCTTCATTTTCTTGTTCAATCCTGAGTACCACGCGGAGCATGCATAATCTAGGTGACACTGTATTAGTGCAGAACATAAACTTTGTCTGGTTTTTGTAGTTAGACATTTACTTTGTCTGTATAAAAATTTCAGACTAGAATTTACTTTCCTCACGATGTTTTCTACTATTTCTTCGACAGACATACAACAATCTATATTAGCTCCAAGATATTTCACAGATTTTGTTGATTTGATGGTATGATTGTTTGCGACAATTTCAAAATGGTCAATTTGATTATTATTTTTTTCGTTCCAAATAGCATGCTCTCTGTTTTACCTAAATGCAACGAAAGCTTATTATCAACTTACCACTCTGCACATGATTCAAGTACGGCATCAAGTTTCGTGGAAATTATTTCTGGGCTTTTATGTGCGAAAAGGATAACACTGTTATCGGCATATAATAGTAATTTGCATTCTCCATCAATGCTGATTGCCATATCGTTGACATAGAATAAGAATAAAAGAGGGCCTAAAATACTACCTTGTGGTACCCCACACGTAATAGTAGCTGGGTCCGAGTAGATATCGTTAATTTTGACTGTCTGATGTCTGTTACTCAGATATGATCTAAACCAATTTACAGATGTCACACACATAATTTTCAACTTGCCACACAGAATGTCATGGTCAACCGTGTCAAAAGCTTTGCGTAGGTCTAGTAGCAACATGCCAGTGTATAGACCTTTACTAGTATTACATTTAATGTGGTCTAGCAAATATATAAGACAGGTATCAGTGGAGTATGCCTTCCTAAACCCTGATTGATATTCATAAAGCATGTTGGTGTTGTTTTTGATCAGAAATGCTTCCATCTGCGAATACACCGTTCGTTCCAATAATTTAGAGACAATGCTATTTAAGATACTTACTGGTCTGTAATTACCAGTATCCAGACTACTACCTTTTTTATAAAGAAGTTTGACGCGGGCAGATTTCATATCATCTGGAACTCTCCCTTCTAAGATTGACATGTTAATTAAAAACGTGATAGGAATTTTCAAGACTTCAGCGCCATCTTTCAAAAACTTGGCTGGGATTTCGTCCAGTCCTGTACTTTTACTCTGATTTAGTTTACAATGTTCCTTAACGATATAATCCTCTGATACATGACGGAGAACAAACTTCTTCTCTCTTGGATTTCTTAATTTGTAAAAAATTCGTTAAAAGAACTGAACCTATGGAGTACAACTTATTGGCTGGAGGTAACTCTTGTACCAATTTGGAAGCTACATTTGTAAAATAGTTATTAAAATGATCTGCTACACCTTTGTGGTCATGACAGTTTTCTCCATCTATATTTAAAACAATATTTGAATCTCCTTTTGCTTTATTTTTATAGCCCAAACTTTCAGATGATGCCATAATTTCTTTTAATCATGTTTTTTTTCTTCTATTTTTTCCGAAAAGTAATTTGACTTAGCATCTTTTACATCCCTTTGTACTTTGTTTCTAACGGTACAGTAAGACATGTAATCCTCATTATTTTTACTAGTTGTGAATAAATTCAGGAAACCATCTCTGTGTTTAATATTTTCTAAAATCTCTGGTGTAATCCATGGTTCGCTCCGTTGTTTAACTCGAACCTCTTTCACAGCTGCAACTGTGTCTAAAACCGTCATAAAAATGGTTTTGAAGGCTACCCATGCACTGTCTAAATCCTTTGGATTAAAATAGTCTTCCCAATTTGCGCTAGTTAAGCCAGCCATGAAATTTTCTTTGATGTATGTTTTTTTGTGATCTTACTTTTACAAACGTATGATTTTCAACACGGATGTTTCATAATGGAGAAATCGTGTATTTCATGAGTATTATAGCAATAACAAACTTGAGCTCG